CCTAAACGCCCTAAACACCTAAACCCTAAACCCTGGACCCCCTGAGCAAGCCCAGGAGTTGCAACTCTCCAGCCCTGCTAACTATCAACGTCTCAGCGTGGAGCACCCGGAGCTGTTCGCAAACCAGAGAGAGGTGAAATGAGGGTTGGGGCTGTAGGGTTGATGTAAGGCTTTGTTTAGGGTTTACGGTTTAGTTTTTTTTTTGGTTTCAGGGTTTAGGATTGACAGCGGGTTAGAAGACTGGGTCTCGCAGTGGGCCCCGTTTCCCTTTTCTTTTGTCGTCCTTGGTTCCTTGCAACACTACCCAATACCAGAAAGGTAGCCCTTTTGATTCCTAGGTTACTGGGGGCCCTGGAAGAGTGTTTAGGATTCATATCAGGCACACTGGTGTGTCCGTCTTGGGGAAGGGGAGAAACCTCGACCACAATACTCCCTCAAAGAAACCTTACTATTTATAGTATTATAGAACCCTTGCAAAAACCAAGCATGTCATCAAGCTAATGTCTTGTTCTTACGAAGACCTTGTAGAAGCCTTATCTACTATGAAAACAGACAAACAAGCCCTAAACCCTAAACCCTAAACCTTAAAACCCTAAACCCTGAACCCTAAACCCTAAACCCTAAAACCCTAAACCTTAAGCTCTAAAACCCTAACCCTAAACCCTAAACCCTAAAACCCTAAACCCTAAACCCTGAAACCCTATGTCAGGTTGCCAGACGAAGACCTGGCGCCATCGGACGGTCCTGTCCTTGCCTAGAATGTCTCTTCATGTAGCTCGAAGCCGGCTCAAACAAGGTTTAAGTCGCAGACAAGCAGGTTTTTGTATCATGGTATGGGGCTAAAAGCCCCATACTCTGCCCTGAACCCTACACCCTAAAACCCTAAACCCTAAACTCTACACCCTAAAACCCTAATCTCGAAACCCAACAACTGACCCTAGGAGCACAGTAGGTAGGTAGCTGGGCTCCTAGGGGTGCGTCCTTGCAGGGCAAGTTTTTCCCCCTTTAACAAGTGCGTGTCCCTGACCGCGGAGTGGTCAAAGTGCCTTGAAAACCCAGAAGGATCCATCATATACGCATATACAGTGTATGCTTCGGGCATCTTTGGTTAAAGGGGTTCCTAGACGCGTACTTTAGGGCCAGAGCATATGGCGCAAGGTGAGTTTAAGCGCCGGAACAAGTAGTAGCATACTTGTGCTATAGTATACATAGTAGACCACCAAAAGGACCCTTGGGGAAAGCGATGTTGGTCGCAACTCAGGCAGAACGCAAATGCGCTCCCTCAGTGGGCAGCCTCGAACATACCAGAGAAAAGCTGAGTGGGTTTCGGGTTCATGAGTTCCTTAAAGGGTTCCTTGCTTTTTTTCGGGTTCGAGATTTGTGGATTTACTGAAAGTCTCCACCGCAAATTCTTTTTAGGGTGTAGGACTTATTTAAATTATCCATTATAGTTCCTTTTGGGGGTTTAAGACTTTAGGAACGACCTAAAGTCCCCATTGTAGTTGCTTTTCAGGGTTGGGGAGTTTCTTGAAGTCTCCCTAGTCGTTCCTGTTAAGAGTTTAGGAACTACCCAAGAATCTCCGTTGTCGTTCCGCTTTAACCCTAAACCCTAAACGCCTAAACCCCTAAACCCTAAACCCTGAACCCTGAACCCTAAACCCCTAAACCCTAAACCCTAAGCCCATTTGGGACTGACTTATTTGTGTCAAACAGGGCCCTAGCCAAAGCAAAAGCTGACTTTCATCGAGGCATGGACTGCGATGAAACATATGGGTAGTT